AGGACAGATGTGAAGTTGTGCTGGAGGATTTCTCAACAAGGTGATCAAGACGAAACAGGGACCATGGGGAGGGATCGCCAGCCCTGGTGTCTTCATGCAGCATGTGGACCCGACTTACGACTTTAAATGCACTGCCTAGTGAGCCAGTGTGGCTGTCATCTGGGAGGAGGAAGAGGTGCCTGTGTTAAAAACTGAATAGATAGCATTCTTTTTTCTTTTTTCTGTTTTTTTTTTTTTTTTATTGGAAATAAGACATTGCTCTGTCATGTAGGCTGGAGTGCAGTGGCATCATCATAGCTCACTGCAACCTCAAACTCCTGGTCTGAAGTGTTCTTCCTGCTTCAGCCTTCAGAGTAGCTGGGACTACAGGCGCACACCACCACACCTGGCTAATTTTTCTATTTTTTTGTAGAGATGGAGTCTCCCTCTTGCTCAGGCTGGTCTTGAACTCTTGACCTCAAGCAATCCTCACGCTCTACCTCCCAGAGTGCCTGGATTGCAGGCGTGAGCCACCGCGCCCTGGCTGGATAGATAGCATTCTGTGTTCCATTGCACAAGGCTATCATAGCAGAGTTAGCAAGGGCCAAGAAGGTGGCAAGGAACAAAACCTACACATTAGGCACAAAATTTCCATGCTTCTAGAGAAAAAAAGCAAAATAAACTTACCAGATGTTTTATTTCACCTTAACAACTTATAAAAGAAATTATAAGAGAGAGCTTTGCAGAGACTCAAATGGTTGAACTTAATTCATAAAATCAGAATAGTTAGACTTCCCAGGGGTCAAACAGGCCCTGGGTACGTGTGCTGTTTCTACTCATTTCATACCGTGCTAACTATATCTCCACATCTTCCATCATTACCATTTCCAACAGTCAAACTAAGGGGTGCGCATAAAAACTTGAATTTGTTTTGACTCATCAAGGAGTTGCCAGTTACATTTCAATGTGATAAGATTCTGCCTGGTCTTTTGTGACTTTCTTCCCTTTATCCATACAATGATTTTTGTCTGGCCCCACCTCATGTCAGCCCGAATAGAAATGGACAAAATGAGAATTAAAATCGCTGGTAAGAAGGGAGAGGGAACACATCTCCCAACTCAAAACAGTTTCAAGAAATTCTCAAGTAGAAACACCAATAGAATCCAGAAGTTTCATGTTCCATCTCATTTTTCATATCTTCTTTACTTCACTAGTCCAGCTGTTAGTGAAAAGACATGCTAAGGGCGGGTATCCCAAGGAGGTAAATGGTCACTTTCTGTTCCTCCAAAATATCCAACCTAAAGGTGCTGGACTGGAAATATGGAGACCGTCCTCCGATTAACCCCCTGGTGCTGCCATTCAGTCCTTTCGTGGTATGCTTATAAATGTGTTTGCCAAGGAGTGTTCCTTTTAAATATCTTATTAAGGATCTCTTCAACCTTATCCGTCTTCTTTGTCACTCCTAATGCAGAAGGTGCTGAAGAGCCCACCCACTACCAAGAGGCACCTCCCATGACCTGCGGAGAAGGGAAATGGGCCAAAGCAGGCCTGAGCTTGGCAGCTGATTCTAGCTTGCATATTAGGGAGAAATAAAGACTTTGTAGTCATGCTGGTTGGAAACAAAAAAGTATAGTTTACCTTTCGATTATGATTAAAAGTGCTTGCAAAAAACACAGACATTGTGAGAGCCCACAAAGAGGACCTTGGCCATTCTGTGAGGGTCTCGGTGAGATGCATTTCCTGGCGGCCTGTAGGCGTAAGCCAGGGAATGCGCAGGGGTGTGGACGGAGTGTGGAGGGGGTAGCAGGTGTGTGGGCAGAAGACACTGCACATGAGAAGCAGCAGAGCACGTGGAAGGACGGGAATGCGCCCAGGAGACCGGGCGTGGAAAGTAAAGGAGAGAGAGGAGGTAGGGAGGTGGGGAGGCCATGGCATGCAGGCCTTGTGGGGGTGCAGCAGTTTGCATTTGATTCCGTGAGCCACAGGAAGCCATTGGCAGGTGTGAAGCACTAAAGTACATTGAGATTCGTATATTTAAGGCCACGCTGTGTGCAGCCATGCTGCTGTGGTGCTGCAGGCTGTTGCCCAAGCTGCTCTTCCAGGCTGCATGGGTTCTGGCTCTTTTGGGGTTGAGGGGTGCTGACAGGGTCGACATGTCCCTGTGCTCAGAGCACTCCTTTGGGTGGCCCTTGTGCTGATCTTGGCACAAGCATTTGGCCCACTCTCAGACAGCCCATCCAGCTTCAGTGCTTGGAATAATTATTCTGTGACTTCAGGCTTAGCCTATCTGGATCACACTTTAAAAAGCTCTCCTGCCATCCTGTGGGCCACCGGCCCCCTGCCCCCAGGGAGAGGCTGGCGGTGCATGGGCTCGAATCGATGGGGAGACTTCTTCCTCATTCCTGCCGAACTTAGCCAGACACCAACCAATGAGGCCAGATTAGCCTGTTTACCTGAATAGTGTGACATTTTTGCAGAAGCTCAAGTGCCCAACTTACAGTGTGTCAGTGTGGAATCTGGATTATAAACTTATTCCCTTTTGATAAATATTTTAATAAGTCATGTATGTTGGCATTGTCTTTTGGGTCCCCCTTAGGGTCTGGCATATTCCAGGATGTAAAATATACATTCAATAAATACTTAATTAGTTAAATTGAACAGCAACCCGACCGACGGGCTGGTCTGAGTGATGAGCCACTTGGTGCTACACTCCCTGGCCAGTGCCATGTGCTGACACATATGTGGCCAAACATACTGCTGCTGACTGCCCTGGAGCCCCTGGCCGCTGTCAGAACACCAGCCTCCCATCTCACCCATTCTGTGAAGCTCTGGCCTCTTGGCACCTCCATCGGAAACCACCATGCGTAGTGGTCTAGTATATGCACAGGGTTATTAACGATGTAATAAAGGCAAGACACGCGAACAACACGGAAGGGAAAGGAGAGAACTAACAACGTGCAGCATCTATTGAGTACCTCCTCTGTAGCAGATGTTTAACATCAGGACTCAATTTCTGCAAGGTCGATGTTATTGCCTCATTTAACAGATAAAGACAGTGGCGCTCATGTAGATTAAGGGACTCGTCAAATCCTGACAGTCTGTGATGACACCACTGCACTCTAGCAAGGGTAACAGAGCAAGACTCTGCCTCAGAAAAAAAGAAAAAGAAAATCCTGACAGTCAAGAGAAGAAAGGTCTAGGGTTCCCATGTGAGGGCTGTGCTGCGCTTCCCTGTGAGGAGGGATGGACTCGTAGCACTGTGAAGACAGAAGCCCACGGCTCCGCCCGAACCTCTTCACACCTGCGGTCCTTGCCACGCGCACGCTGCCCACAGTGCTCTGTCAGCATCTGCCTGTTCCCCCAGCATCCTGTTCTCCCTCTCACTCCCCTCCCTGCCCCTACCCCAGGGGAAAAGACGCATTCCAAATCCTGCCCCCTAGCTCCTCACCCCTCCCTAAAGTTTCCAGACATTTCCTGCTTTAAAATAATTGACTGCCTCTGGGAGGATGGGCAGTCAGCATTGGGCAGTAATGGCCCTCCCAGAGATTTCCTTAAGGAATTCTGAGCCAGAGTTGAGTGGGTGAGCAAAATCATGGCTTCGTGTTTTCCAGAGTCCTTCACCGGGCTTCCCACAGTGTCCAGGAAGTGGAGGCAGATGAAATGATAGTTTGAAACCCCTGGAGGCCTTTGCCTCTGCCTCTTCAATTAACTGAACACCATTCTTTCAGATGACTGGAGGCTCGGTCCGCTGGCTGGGGTTAATGGAACCTGCAATCGGAAGCCTATCTTATCACACAGAGATGATGTTGCATATGATGGTAGTAGAGTGGGTGACAGCATGGGGCTTGCAGCCCTTACAAGTTCCCAGAATAATCGTCAAATCAGAGACATGTGCTGAGTAGGTGGAGTGAGGAGGTACTTGAAGCCAGCTTAGACAGCTCCCCAACTGGGAGATTACAGAACTGGTCCTGTGGGCAGTGCCCGGCACCCATCTATCGAGCAGGCAGCCCTGATGCTAAGGCATCAAAAGGTATGCAATGAGCTTCGTATCTGCCGGAAGTCCTCTAAGGAAGAGGACTCTATAGGGGACCCAAAATTCTGATAATAAGCTCGGGGCGAGGGGAGAAGCCCCCAGAGGGATATAGTGGAGTCATAGTAGAAAATGGCCAAGCTGCTGTTTAAGAGACGCTAAATCCAATTAACTGCAGGGGCTTTCCTTTTATGGGAACAGGAACAGGTTGGGGACAAGAGTGAGGAGGGGCTGCTGGTTGCTGCCCAGCTATCCTCCTCCCCATCTTCCCGTGTGTCATTGTCCTCTCACAGGTTAGAAGGGGCTCCCAATTACTTGCCCGCCCGTGGTGTCCACATATCTCTCTTGAGGCCCGAAGGTGGGGCAGTTGCAGAGTAGAGACTTACAACATTGCTATTTAAATCTTTGTGCACCTGAGTGTCAGCACCCTCAGGGAAATCCCTGGACACCTCTCCTTTGCTGCCTCTGTCAGGAATCGATCTGCTTGACCAGCACAGCCCCCCTGCATGGGTGCCCACTGGGGCCAGTGACATTTGCAGGACTGCCGCAGCCTGCATGTGGTCCATACCTGACTCATCTCTGCAGCACCATCCCGACTTCCATCGTGGAACAATTCTGTGTTAAATGTGTGGTTGGACAGGTGGATGAATGATTTGATACCTGAGTGATTGGATGAATAAATGAGCGAATAAATTTGCAAGATAGCTACTTGGAGTAAGAAATGGAACTGTTGTTACCTGCGGAATATTTTTTTCTCTATATAAAACTACAACAGACACAGCTGAGACTGGAACCTTCAGCCTGGGGCATAGGCTAACTAACCAAGCTACCCTGTTCAGAAAGACATGTCACAGCACTGATTAAGCCTGCCTTGTTTGGGCCATTACCATGATAATTATGGCTACACTACCAAGGCACCGCCTGAGAGTAGGCCTCTTGGAAAGCCACTAGCCTGAGCTTTTCACTGACCTGTTCTTTTTGTTCTTTTCAGATTATCAAGGAAGTCCCTCCACCCCCTGCCGAGGAGAGCGAGGTAAGTGACCAGAGCTGGGTGCAGCCAGGTGGGCGGGGTGGCAGAGTGGGGCGGAGGGGCGGGCTGGCCTGACACTCTGACACGTAGCCCCCTGCAAAGCAGAGCTAGGTCAGGCCCTGGCCCCACCTGAGTGTGTGAAGCAGCAGGGAGGGAAGTCTTGGTCCATTTCCTAAGCAGGGATGAACAGGAACTGAACTTGAACTACACTGACAGCCAGAGACAGAATGGGTTTGGAGGATTTTCTCCCTGCAGGGATAAAATTTGAGCCGCAAATATAAATGTTTTTATCAATACTATTATTCAGATCTCTGAGGTACTGACTTTTCCTCTAAAACAAACACTTTGGAATTCTCTTCTCCCTGCAGAGACTTGTGCTTTGTGTGTAGATCAGGCACAGTTTGCCACATTTTCCAATCATTGCTTCTAGGAACAGCCTGATATCAGAGTATTCCATTTTTCTTTAATTTAAAACAATATTACCTAGAGATTTGCCAGGCAGTAATGAAAATATGCTGGGGATGGATATGCTAATATCCTGGCTTTGCTCTCAAATCTTTATCATCTAAAGAAAATAGAAATCTTGGACTCTAAATTGGCCAGTAAGCAGTTCTGATGCAAGAGTGGCGTGGAATAGAATATAGTGGAGACATTAGAGGCCAATGGTGAGAAACAGTGTCCCTGGGCAGGAGTGCCCAGCAAGTGGCTCTTCCAATCTTCTGATCACTCCCAGGACAGCTAGACTCCCTAGAAGCAACACCCACCAGTGTAGAAGCCAGGGTACATATCCCAACACGTAGTGAGACCAAAACCTATATTGATAAAGTCTCAAGTTCTTGTCTTTAATCCCTAAGGTCCGTTGTGTGCGAACCAAGCACCACCTCCCCACGCTCCTCCTTCCAATGCCTTTGTCAAGTTTTCTACATACAGAAAGAGTGATGATTAAATTTAAAATTCCATGTGGTTCTTATATCCTGAACCATATGCATGTAAGCCAAGGGATTTAATAGCTGCAATCAATTAAAGCACATCTTGTTGGAATGCTAACTTTCTGCCCAGAAATCAAGGGAGGAAATTACATTGCTGTGCAAAGAGGAGAGAGGAAAAAAAACCCTCTTTACATCCACGAAAGCCTTTCCTTCGTCCTTCCAGAGAAAGTACCGTGGCTAGTTCCACAGTGCCAGCTTGGCTTTGTTTCTGCTGTGTGCAGCTGTCTCTTAGACTCCCTTGATGGGGCCGCCCTGTTTGCCCTGAGCTGAAGAATGTTCCCTCCTTCATTGTGTTCTATTAGAGGAGATGTTGCTCTTTCTTCTGGTTCTTGCCCTTCATTGGACTTTAGAAGGTGATGTGGCAGCCAATGTGGCCAAAGTACACTTGGGGACATAGGTATAAGACTGGGGGATCTGCTTTACCCCAGATCCCAGATCTAGTGTAGGGCTCCACACACAGCACAAGCTCAATAAAAATCTGTAGTATGGCCGGGCGCGGTGGCTCACGCCTGTAATCCTAGCACTCTGGGAGGCCGAGGCGGGCGAATTGTTTGAGCTCAGGAGTTTGAGACCAGCCTGAGCAAGAGCGAGACCCTGTCTCTACTAAAATTAGAAAGAAATTAATCGGACAGCTAAAAATATATAGAAAAAATTAGCCAGGCATGGTGGCGCATGCCTGTAGTCCCAGCTACTCGGGAGGCTGAGGCAGAAGGATCACTTAGGCCCAGGAGTTTGAGGTTGCTGTGAGCTAGGCTGACGCCACGGCACTCTAGCCCAGGGCAACACAGTGAGACTTTGTCTCAAAAAAAAAAAAAAATCTGTAGCATGAAGTACCCAACAACACCATTTGGGAGCCAAAAAAAAAAAAGCTCAAACTATAAAACCACCTAGAAAGAATAGCTAAAAGCAAGGGAAAAGAAGTGGTTGAGTTTTTACAGTTTCATAGAAGTTGTACTTTGATCTGAAGAAGACAGACCTCGTTTCTGAAACAGAATGACAACCTCAGGATATTTGAAATCTAAGGGAGGGCTGTGTTAAACATAAAGGAGTTTCTGGACCGGAGCATTCTTGCCCATGGCTTCTCTTACCATATCAAAGGTACAGCTCCCATGGCACTGTTCTTACTTAATCACACTGCCTTGGCCAGACCTGGACTGGACGGATGAGTAGTGCATTTCAGTTGCTGATGAAAAACAAAACCTTCCCTTCCTGGAGTCTAAAGCTCCTACCCACCACCTTCATTTTCCTTTGAAACCCTCTGGCTTAATCAATTAAATATGATGTCAGAAATAAATTAGGAAACTACCCAAACTGGAGATCTAGGCAATAAAACTGAAACATTGTACTTTTTAGCATTAGGCAGTTTTCAGCATGTGCTGATTGCCTAAACATGTGTGTTGGCCCCGAGGGTTCCTTGGCCCTGTGAGTTAAGCAGCCCTAATCTCCTTCCTAATGTGTTTTGGCAGAAAAAAAAAATAGAAGAAGAAAGAAAGAAATCCCACAGAAACAGATAACTTAGCCCATGCAAAGTATTTTATACAATGCCCTAAAAATCATAGTCTGAATCTAGACAACCTTCTCACTCCAACTGCCTGTGTTGAAATCCCACAGAGCCTAACACTCGATTAATGGCTATATGAAATCGAACACTCTCAGCCATACATATAATCAAGTTAAGCATCAATTATCCAAACTTTCATTAATTCTATGACCATCATATCCTGAGAGAGGCATGTCTACTATTTCAATAACTAACCTTAGAGAATGAAGACAACTTTATGAATCTTTATAATGAGTTCTCAGTGATCTTTAATAGGGAATATAAAAATTCATAACATAAAAAGGCATGACTTTCTGAGACTCCATGTAACCAATAGTGATACCCTTGTATAGAGTACAAAGAAAAATTACTTGAAAGGTGGAAAACTCAACAAAAGCAAGGAAGTTCAGTTTTTAACAACTGAGAGGGGCATTTCCTGGGTTAAGAATCTTCTCCAAGTGGCATCAGAGTGAGGATTTCTCACTAAGTCTTTAGTTATTCCAAATAATTAGCAGTTTATGGAAGAATGCAATAATGGAATACTTCATCTGATGGCTTCCTTCTAAATGTAATCACCTTCCATGGATTTTATGGCCACATCTGAGTGTTTACCAGGCTCATTAAACTGCAAAACGCAGAGACCAATTCAAGCTAGTCCAGAAGGAAAGGTCCCAGGTAGACTGTGGTGGGAAAGAACTGAGGCAGCTCCAGACTCCTGGCATCTCTGCTTCTCCCTGGGAATTTATCCCTCTGCTCTCTTACCGGCCTCCTCTCTGCCCTCATAACTCTGGCTTGTACAGACTCCTCTGCCCTGACCCCACCTGATGGCGTTTCCAGCCTTCGTTTCAGCTTCCGTCCTCAGTGCTGACATCCTCAGCCTCTGTTTCCATCTTCCAGTTCCCAACAGGGCAATATATTAAATACTTTGTCCAGCTCATCTTTTCACTCCAGACCATAGATCATAAATCGCAGCTCACAGCCAACCAATGGACCACTGCCCTTGGGCCAGGTATGGCCAAAGAGAAGAGTCATGTGCTTCCTAACAGGCCACCTGAGCATGGCGAGAGTAATTTCCCTTAGAAGGAGGAGTGGACCTGGTGCATGCACCGTGGCCTCTCTGGAATAGCACTGTTCAATAAATTAAATTTCAGTCTAATTAAATGCAGAATACAAACTACAGTCAGGAATCCATGCCATATTCTCCCACCTGCCATTCCTACAGTTTCCCCAAGATCCTACAGTCCCCAACTTCACACACATTTGCAAGGGAATACATAGCAGAAAGCCCCATGACAGAATGAGAAATTGCATACAGCTCAACCCTAAGCAGCCATGCATCTCAGGCACACACAGACCTACACAGCAAGTAAACATGCTGGAAGAAAAAAGACACTTTCTCGCCCATCTCTTCTCTCACTCTATCAAAGATATAGCTCATGTGGACACCTGCAGTTTTCTTACTTAATCACACTGCCTTGGCCAGACCAGGGCTGGACAGATGAGTAGTACATTTCATTTGCTGATGAAAAACAAAACATTCCCTTCCTGGAACCTAGAGCTCCTCCCCACCCCCTTCATTTTCCTTTGAAACCCTCTGGCTTAATCAATCAAATATGATGTCAGAAATAAATCAAGAAACTACCCAAACTGGAAACCTGGGCAGTAAATGTTAAAACATTGTACTGTTTAGCATCAGGCAAATTAAGACCTTAGGCTCTGAATTGAGGATGTTGGAAAAATCAAATAGGATAAGTGGTAAAAAGGTATGTTAGTAGCCCTCATGTTTTTGAGATATTTAAAATTTTTATTCATTCAGTGACTCTAGAATGAGTGCCTCTGCGTGCTGTGATAAGAAGTCTGAGATTCCATGCAGGAGCTTAAGAGAGGGTGTCATTGGAGGTTAATAAAGGTGATGAGCTAATCATTTCTAATTGGAGAGCAAGACAGATTCCTGGTGGATTTTTCATGTAAGCCTGTGAAAATTAATAATAATAATGGTAATTACTAGAGATGACATTTACTTATCACCATACTTAACCTCAGGCAAGTGAAATAAAGAAAGAGGAAAAAAAAAAGAACATTTACCGAGCTTTTATGACTATCCAGGCAATGGTACAAAGCCATTTTCATTTAATTGTTCAACAGCCCTGAAACAAAAGCATGCATTATTATGACCCCCATTTTATAGATGTAAAGCTGAGGTATAATGAGATTAAAATACTAGTTCACCCAAGATCACAGTTAAGCGATGGGACTGGGATTTGAACTTGTACCTGAAAGGGAAGCATAAAACAGTCCTTCCTCACCAGACCCTGAGGAGTATGTTGCTCCTGCAACCAGCAGTAAAGCCTGCAGTCCTCCATGGGAGCATTGGGTGCTCCTTTCTTGAGTGGCATTGTCACCCCACCCAGCCCCAGTTGGCACTCACATAGGGCCCACAGCCCCTTTTAAGACTGACATGAAGGCAGCTGCCT